GTGCTATGATTGCATGTCTCGGCAAAGCGAGGAACCATGAAAGTTCCCGCCTTCAGAATGCGGCACGATATACTCCTGCCCGGTAAGGAGGGGCTCACGGGGAAGCTACTCACCGTTGTAGATCTCATGGACACTTGCGATTGTCTCACGAGCATCCCTGTTTGAAGGGTCGTGGATTATCCTCAAAGCTGCATTGGAATTTTGCTTTGTGACTTCCAGACGGGATACATTACCGTTTCCAGTTTCTAATATAACCATTCGAAAGCCTCTTGATCAAATCGTCAGATATTGGGAGTTCGACTATTTTCTATTTAGGTAGTGAACCCAATCCGCAATTCCAGTGCGGAAGAGTTGACCGATGTTTCGGAGTGGATCATTGTCCAAGATGTGCAATCCCTATGTAGACCGAATGATTGCGGGGCGCCTCAGCCACTGCCGAGTCATTCAGCCTATTTATCTAGCCGCCGTCTACATCGGCCGAACCAATTGCGTTTAAGTTCGGGATGGCCAACCACAGACTAGAGATCGCCCACAGTGTTCTGACTGCGTGTCTGTATGGTGAGAGAACAATTGGATGCCCCTCCTGAGTGCTTGACGCTTAGCTCGGTACCCTATCGGGGGCCAGATCTAGTCGCCCTGCCAAGTACTACCTCTTCTGATAGTTGGCCCTGCTATGAGCCGCTAATCGGTGGGAGTACGGATTGGTGATGTCAATATTGTCCTGCCCATGCAAGCCCCTCGGTCTCTCGCTTTCGTAAGGTGGCCGTCTGGTTGATCCGCACCAAGGACAACTCAACACAGAAGAAAAAAAAGGACAGACACATTTACGCTACGTAAAAGTTCACGCAGAAAAGGGGAAGGAGGTGGGAACCGATGGTCCAATTTGGCAATATACACGTTCCACCTTAGCATCCATGCTAGAGCTTCCTCGGTATAAAAGCAAGGGAAAGCCCCTGCTTACCAACTGGGCCGAGTACCCATCTTGGTAAACTGCCAATGCTATGTCTCAGCACTTTTAAATTGACCAAGCATATAGCACATTCGTTAGTTTGATTGCTACCCGCACCGCTATCGAGCTTTAAACTCAGGATTTCCCCTTTACCAACCCCGCCACTCCTCAGATTATGTTTTCATCCTCTCATCAGGGTTCCTTCAAGAAACTGGAGAAGGTTTGTGGTTCCTATTAGATGAGAAATGATGAAAGAGAAAATAGAGGGTTTCTGGTGAGCCTAGTCGCTAATTATGATCACGTTAGCTGGGCCAGGGAACATATGCAACGGTTCGTTCAGCCATCCGTTGGATTCCTGATCGAGAGGTACAGCTGGTGGTGTCTGACAGGGTATCTACCTTATATTCCAGGTTTATAAAGGACGCAATCGCGAGACAAACGAATTGGTGGCCTTGAAAGAAATCAATCTCGACGCTGAGGAAGGCGCTCCTTCAACGGCTATCCGGGAAGTCTCATTGCTGAGACGCCTCACACACGAGAATATCCTGACCCTGCACGATGTGATAAACGTCGAGGACAAATTGGTGCTGGTCTTTGAGTACATGGATCAGGATCTAAAGCGCTACATTGACACTCAAAGTAGCCCCCTTGACAACGCAACGGCCAAGTCTTTCGTCTACCAGTTGCTGTGCGGTGTCTCGTTCTGTCATGAGAATGGCATCTTACATCGAGACCTGAAGCCCGAGAACCTACTACTCAACCAGAATGGGCGGCTAAAACTTGCGGATTTTGGGCTGGGCCGTGCGTTCGGTATACCCATCAGCACATTTTCGATTGACGTGGTCACTCTCTGGTATCGTCCCCCAGACGTGCTTCTTGGAAGTCGCACGTACAACACCAGCATAGACATCTGGTCCGTCGGATGTATCATGGCAGAGATGTATACAGGCTCTGCATTATTCGCTGGAACAACAAATGCGGAGCAACTGTTGAAGATCTTCGATATTATGGGCACACCAACCGATTTCACCTGGCCAGGCGTCAGTCAATTGCCCGAATACAGAAACGACTTCCCGCCTCGCTCTCCACAAAGTCTGCAACAAATTATACCGTCGTTAGACCCTGTGGGGGTCGACCTTCTGGAACGCATGTTGCAACTACGTCCAGAAGCACGCATCAGCGCCACAGAGGCTTTAAATCACCCGTGGTTCCAGGGTCTTGGTTAAATGATTACATCGATATACGTATTTTAATATAGATGAGTTTTCTTCAATTATTCGACCATAGATCCAGGCACTTCATACAGCAGTCATTGCTATTATAATCTCTCCCTTGCGTTGTTCCAAGTTATGCGACTGCAAGGCGTTTCCAGGCCTGGACTCCGTTTACGTTGATCTCAAGAATAGTAGAAGAACTTTGCAAGCGACTGCGAAGCAACAGTTGAGCCCCCTCCACGCAGAGCCCGGGATAAATTGGCATTTCCCGTCCGGATCCGCACCAAACCCCGTGAGCTGCGATAATTGGCGCCCGTTTCGGGTCGGGAATCAACCTTGCGAAGCCGATCACGTTGTGTCTTCAGGGACATCGCAGTACATTTTAGGCGGCCATTCTGATAGACTACATAGTGTAGTATATCATACGATTTCTTCGCCCGTTGCTGTTGATGAAACACCTTCACGATCTCGTGCACAACGATATAGATTTTCGAAGATGATCCATGTTTGTAGAAAATATATTCGCTGATCTACCTCCGAGCATTGGCTCGACTGAAGGACTAGGGCATATAGTAGACTGGTCGAGATACATGAATACCGAGAACCTAACCTACAAACTCGATGGAATATTTGCTTCATTTTGCTGGTCATGACCGAAGCATTGACAAACCAATAGAGCCCTACATATTTGATCTTAGTACACGCATCATCAGAACATGCTACAAAGGCCATCGTGTTAAAGGGAGGAAAGGAGCCACAACTCCCTAAACTCCATTCCACATGAACTATGCGCCTATCTAACCCAACTCCATGCTAACCCCTCAACCCCAAGCCTAATACCAGTCCCATGATCCTATGCATAAAACCATAAACTCCCAGCTAACTTGCCCGTAAGCCAGTACTCCTTTCTATCTTTCCCTCTTCTAGACTATTTCACCTTCGCCTCTAAGCTTCCAGGAACTTCTTATCATCTTCCATAATCTCGCCCTTAATCTTAGGAACAGGAACAGGAGAAGACGGCACCTCCGCCTTCACCTTGCTAGCCTTTCCATTGGTCTTTCGGATTTTCTTGGGTGTAGGGGTATTAGGCGCAGAAGAACCCGATCCATCAGGAGCAGCCCGCTTGCTTTTGGTATATCTAAAGGTAATGGAGCTGCCAGGCTTGCGGTATTTGCCCAGCTGTTCGCTGAGCGCTTTGCCGGTGGGCTTGTCGTCTCCGGCTGTGTGGTTGGTGTGGTTAGTGATGAGACTGGGGTTATTGTGTATGTGCGGATGGGTGGGTAGGTTGTATACTTACGCCAGGCATCGACGATCTTGTCGAGATCGATCTGGAAATTCTGTGTCTCAAAAATGAGGCGGAGGAGCTTGGTGAGGTGAAATGTTAGTTTGTCTTTGTGTATGTAGATATTGTATAGATGTGTGTCTGGGGAAGGGGATTAGGGAGGGACATACAGTCGCCTTGTTTTCGTCGGTCCAGCGAGTCATTGTTCTACTTTTGAGTTGAAGTTGTTGTGAGGTGGTTTTAGTAAAGAGCTTGGAGGTTCTGTGTGTCTGAAAATGTGCGCAGTTGAGAGGATGAAGAAAAGGGAAGAGCTCTGAAGAGAGAGAAGAAAGAAGGTCAGGAGAGAAGATCAGGAGAAGATAGAAATGGTTCTAGGAAGAGGCGGAGAGAGATTGTAGTGAATGTCAGGAGAAGCAGATCACAGGACTGTTGCTCACTTTAGTGTTACTGATGTAGTGGGCCTGGGTGGTTGTCGGGGAGAGCTGTTCTAAGTGATGAGATCTGGGAGGACCTGCTTGGGGCTTTGACTGAGCTGAGATTAAATGCTTCGCTCTTTTGACATATTCCCTAGCCATGTTTGATCTCCTGAGTGAGGTACATGAGGGCATTGCTTGCTGCGGTGTTCTAGATAAGGGCGGTGGTTGAGGAACTTGGAGCAATTGTAAGGACATAACAGGGAGAATGATGCAAAGTAGTCACTAATACATCCTTCTTTCAAGTAATTCTTGCCACTGTATTTCCTAGACACCTCTTTTAGCTATCTTGAACTGTCTACTATACCCTACATTGAGAGCTTTTCGGGTGAGCCACTATGCAGTCTCATTCAATACTCTACTTTAAAATATAAGAACATTAAATCACTCAGCCTAATTACATAGCTTCGCAGCAGCTACTACATGTTATATCTCCTTGGAATAATCTATTTGTATAACTTGCTGTAATATCGCTAATGTTATGTGAAACCATCATAGATTATACCGGTGGACTATATAGAGCGGGAGACACGCTCCTCAACTCCAAGTACACCCTAGCAACACTACCATCTAAATACACCAATTCCACCTCACATTGTACTCACTATCAAGAGGACCAAAAATTCTTGTCAAATCAGAATAAAAATCGTTGAGTGGGTAACCACCCGATTGGCCATCCCAGCCTCAGGCACGTATCCACGTGACTCCGGTCCCTGGATGCCTGGATGCCTGGATTAGCAATCGAATCGGAGTGGCACTCAGTTCCTTTCTTTCCAAATGATTCTTTCCCCTGACCATCATCATTGTATTACCCCCTCTATCGCTTGGGGTCATGTCTTTCATTCATCTTAGCGTGTTACTATCCGGTTGGGACACATTTTCCGCCCACTGACGCAGTCCAAGCGTGGAATATATCTGGTGGAGGCGGTAGCAAGCATCTGCATCTAGATCTGTTTCCGCCTCTGTGCCTCAAAAAAAGAGTCACTTTACCTCAGGGCTCCTCGATATCATATTTTACCATCTTTCATCATCTTCTTGTCATAGCGTGGTCTTGAAGTTGTGTCTCCAGGATAATCGCCACCATGCGCGAAATAGACCCACTCATTTTTGAGTATCAGCATGAAAAGCAACGACCACGGGAATCGGAAGCGTTATTGATTCTCCGGAAGGTCGCTTCGCTGGTAAAACCCATCATGCGACGACGAGACTGGAAAGTCAGCACGCTCTGTGAATTCTATCCTCATCAGCGGAATTTGCTTGGGTTGAACGTCAATGCGGGTCAGAAGATCTGTCTACGGCTGCGGTATCCTTCTGATCAGCGCCAGTTCTTACCTATCGAGCAGGTAGTGGATACGATGCTTCATGAGTAAGTTGGTACTCTATCTTCTATCACGTAGTCCCTCTATCTTTTCTGCTTGAGGAAGAGCAGTGGTTGACGATGATTTGTAGGCTATGTCATATTGTGCATGGACCGCATAACCAGCAGTTTCATGCACTTTGGAACCAGCTACGGGATGAGCATGAAGAGCTTGTCATGAAAGGCTACACAGGAGAAGGGTTCCTTTCTGAAGGGCGACGGTTAGGGGGACGGAAAATGCCCGTCGATGAGGCACGCCGGGTAGCCAGAGCAGCTGCGGAACAGAGACGGTCTCTATCTGCTGGATCTGGACGACGACTTGGGGGTGCACCTGTTCTGCGCGGGACTGACATGCGTCGAGTCATTGCGGATGCTGCGCAGAGACGCATAGAAGTGACGAATGGTTGTGCCTCAGGCGCTGACAACAGTGCCGAACTTGCAGAGGAAGCCTCAAGGAATGGCTTCCGAACTAAGGCGGAGGAAGACGATGCTAATGAGCGAGCTATCATGGAAGCGTATATTGATCTGATTGAACAGGAAGAGCGTGAGAGATATGGCCCCTCTTACATTCCGCCGAGTCATGATAATCCCGCTGGTCCGCGGACAACGCTCTCTCCGCCCCCTGTTCCGGAGAACAGCAGGCCGAGAGGGCCCTCGCAGCCTGCAGAGACTATTGACCTTGTCTCAGATGATAATCTGTACGATAAGCCGTGGTCATGTCCGACGTGCACACTCGAAAATCCAGCGAACTTTCTTTGCTGTGATGCGTGTGCATCAGAACGTCCGCGACCAATGACCACCAGGTCTGTTTCGGGTCCTCCTACTGCTACAGCCAGTTCAAGTCATACAAAACCAACAGTGAACAAGAACAAGCGGTCGATGAGTCCGTCAAGCAGGTACACTGGGTTCAAAAATCGGACTCGTGCTGTTGAATCATTAGCTGCCCTCGAGCGGGACGCCAACAAGCGTCCTCTCGGATGGTTATGTGATAGATGTGGAGCATTCATGGAAACGGAGTGGTGGACATGTTCAAACTGTGGTATGATGAAGCGCGCATCATGATTGGCATAGCATTTTGAGCGTGGGTGTTTGGCGCAAGAAAGGCGTTTCCATTGTATTGATATTCGCAAATCTCCATGAATGATGACTTTTTACGACGTATTATTGTCATATTATATAGTGTATTGTCACTGCTGAGACGGCTTTAGATCATCTGATACCTCCACAGCACGATATAATTCCCACTGTATCCTCAACTGAACTGTCAAAATCTAGCAGAGCAAAGCTATCTTTCGACAAAATCAAGCAGTAGCAGCCACCCGCTTCTCCTCCGCCGTCTGCACCCTCAACTCCCCCTTTGTGATCTTCCAGATTATCCAGTCACTCGCGGACCGTTCATCATCAACCTCCCCCTCCTTCAATGGCGGAATCACCGCACTCCCCTTAATCCTCTGCATAGTAACAGACCGATCCGGCCTCGTAAGCAACGCCACGCTCTGACGCGCCACACTTCCCTGCTCCCCAGGGGCCGTCACAACACGATGAAAAGCACTATGCAGCACACCTCCCGTCCACTTCATCAGAGAATCACCCACATTAATCAGCGCACACCCCGGTCTCGGACGAACATACTCCCAATTCTCGCTCACATTCTCCTTCCCCTTTGGCAGAATCTGGAGCCCACCCGAGACATTGAACAGCATTGTCAGGGCGCCCATATCGGCGTGACCACCTAGCGTTACCTGGGGCTCTTTGCTCTCAGAGATAGTAGTGTTCTTTGTCTGAGGCCAATTGACAAGTAGTCGTGCAAAAGTATCAGACTGTTTGTTTAGGGCGCTGCGTTCAGCTAATGTGTTAGGCGGGATGCCCAGGTTCTCCTCGAGGTGGGCGTAGATGACTTCGAGTGTAGTACGGGCGTGCTCGAAAAAGGCCCGGCATTCGGTACGGTGGCGTTCGATGGGCTCGGGGTTCTCGCGTGGAGGGACGTTGCCTACCATGTCGTCTTGGCTTATGCTGTATGTTTCCATGCTGTCTAGCTTGCCGTCCGCGGTGCGGAGTTTGCCGGAGCGTTTGTATCTGAGGTGATTCCAGTTTTAGATGCATGTGCTGGATAGTACTTATGTAACTAGGAAGAAGTATACTCAAGACTTACCCTGCGATGTTGTGAGGAGGGTTATAAGCGAATTTATCCAGGATTTGCCGATCTAGGCTTAGGGTAGTGGTGGTGAGATTCATCAGCGTCTCTGTATCTTTGAGTAATTGTTCTCCTGTGCCGGAGTTTCGAAGGTCGAGAGAAAATAGTCCGAGTTCTCGACAGGCTTGGAATAGTTTCTTTGACTCGGTGGTGCTTGCATTTGCGAGGTCTTTGAATGATATTAACGGTATGTCTGCGGTGGGGATATCGGAGGGGAATGGAGGGACGTGATTGAAGAATTCCTGGGTGGGCATGATGGGTCTTCGGTGCTTTTAGCTACTGTGAGTCTACAAGCTTAGAGGTGATGGAGAGTTGAAGATAGACGATAGATGATGGAGAGCGTGACTCCATCTTGATATACCTCGACGATGACGGAAGGGGGCCAAGGGCAACGCTATCCAACACGTCAGACTACACATAAGCTAATGCAGGACGATAATGAATGGCAGGTAACAATTGGTCAGAGATGTTCAGCTTTGATCTTCCTTGCATTCTCCAGCTGCTGTTGTGTGACTCCCCACATACTTCATTCCTCTACTCCGGAGATAGCCTCATAGGGATTGGTAGTCGATAGATATGATGACATCAAGCCAAGGCTGTTCTCTCGGATCAGCTGGTACTGCAATGAGACTGGTAGATATTGTTTGTTTGTTCATCAACTTGTGCTCTTTGACCTAATGCAGCTGCTTGATGCATGGTGTGGCTATGTAAGTAGTATGCCCATGATTCCGTAGATTTTTATTACCAGAATGAATGATCGCCGTCAGCATATAGGTATATATCTGATATACGGCATAGATTATCTTTTATAGAGTGTTTGACCTATATGATATCAAAAGCTTAGCACATTCTGTATTTCTTCTCTTCTCAAAGAAGGTTATTCTGACATATTGATATAGAGTTAAACCTCGAAGCCAGCTTCATGTCTGCTCATGATTATTGGCAAAATATCTGATAGCACAGAAGATAAGAGTGTAGAGGCTACGTTACTCACGAGCCAGCTAGTATACCAGACATATAGTACTATTTGGATCTAGAACCCACGTTCCAGAGACGTCAACACGGAAATCAACCCTCTCTAGGCTTTCTTCGTTGGGAATACCTTCCTATAGCAACAGTCGAGCATAATAGTTCCTGAGTGCTCAGGGCCTCCCAGAGAGCTCTTTACACTTTCAATCTATACAAAGAGTGCCCTTCATATAGTAACCAGCACTCTGTACCACAGTATGCCTTGACTGCTGAGTATCCCCCGCAACCCAACTTATAGATTAGACATTAAGTAGAGAATATCAGCGTGATTGAACACTGATACCTCATACCACACAAATGAATAACTGAAAAACTCCCCATGTATCATAGTACCGATAAGCTTTATCATCATCTACCGGATTCAGAATCGCTCAGGGCCACTAATTGCATACTCCATAACAGTTAGGCAACAGCAATTACTCCTACCGCTTTATTGACCGCCAGAGACGGCAGAAACTAGTGAACCTCGATGAAAAAACCTCGGAGTTAGCGGATTTTGGAAACATACAGCTCCCAAAAACTCATCTGAGAATCTGTATATAATTTGGCGGTGTGGCGTGGCAGTATGCTAGCCTGAAGCGACCAAGCTACTGAGATTCAGCTGACTAAGTCCTGACTCACCCACTCTGCCCCCCCCGGCGCAACACTTCCGCCGAAGAAAAATAGCTCCTCCCCATTTTCTTCATTTTCTCCCACTTTCCTTTTCGCACAGCTGGAGTTACTTTCTCTCTCTCAGCTTGACTCTAATGTTCGGGTCGCGTACTTATATCGCCACATTTCGACACTATCACGCTACATGATTAACAATAGCTCAGGTATGCATATCAATCTTACCTTGTTCTTATCCTTAATGCAGCTCCATACCCAAAACCGAGGGGTAGAACCAATCAACACTTTCACAACCTACACCTATATGATGAGAATTTTTCTATGAACCGGTATATTAGGAAGAGCCGGAAGAGGAATGGCAGGGACCCCTAAAAATAGGGATGTTCACTGTCGTCGATGCTTATAATGGTTCTGCTGAGTGGTGTTTTCATGGTTGTGATTTGGTTCTAGTCTGTTCCTCTCGGTTTTGGGTTGGATTTGACTGGCTGGATTATTTTCGTCCACTATATGTGTGATTGCCAATCTGTTGGGTACTTGTGCTAACGGATTTATTTTATAGGTCTTTTGGTGACGAAGTCTTGGTCGTATAATAATAGTTGAATAGATAGATGAATACAAATGTCTAGTGTCATGTTGGAAGCTATTGACGGATCGTTTCATAATTTGACATATCTCTATATCGATTTACATTGTATCGAAGCCGTTCGCGAACGTGTAACTCCAGGTATAAAACTTTTCGTAGCCAAACAATCCAAAACAAAAAAATCTCAGGTCTCAACGCCAGTCAGATGCATGTGTAGTACAGGTAGGTATGTATTGCTGGCCCACGCGCAATTAGGCAATGCTCATGAACTGCCGCTTCTTGCCCGTGCCCGTCTGCCTCTCCTGCTCCTCGTAAGCGGCTTCGTCAATGTAATCCTTCGTGCTTTGTTCCTGGATCTGTTGGCCGACGAACTGCAGAGCCGACAGGTTGAAGCCCATTTCGTCCTTCTGACGAGCCAGGACCTTGCGCAGTGCGGATCGGATACCGTCCAGCATCGGCCTCATCATCTTGCTAGCGACGATCTGGCGGTGGTGAGTTTTCAGGATGAAGAACAGCACACGGCAGGTAAGGGGGATGTTCCACTCGCGACTAGCCCAGATATTGAGGAACGTGAAGAGAGCAGGCACCTTTGAGAAGGGCAGGACAAGCAGAGCGTCTTGGAGCGCAGCTGCGGGGATCTTCTGAACGACGTTCAGGAGATACCGCTCTGCTGAAATGTTGTTCAGAGCCATGTACTGGGCATTGCGCTGTGGGGGTGCAGCGTTAGGCTGTCTGGCCTTGAGAGCGCGCCATTGTCGCATAACCTCCAAGTCCTCCATACCCAGATCCAATGCCTCCATGATCTTTTCACCTGCCATTAATGTCTCCGCAGTTTGTTTACCAGCGTCAACGGCTTCAGCCTTCTCTCCATCCTGGCCATCCTCGTCCTGATCCAGGGACGCCATCAGGTTGTTATCGTACATCTCTTCCAGTTCTTTCTCCCTCTCTTCCTCAAGGAACAAAGGCTCGTCAGTCTGCTCCCAGGTGCGGATGCTCTTGTCATGACTAGCGGTGACGATGAAATCACCCGAGTGACTGATAGTCAGAGCCCAGATTTCACCATGGTGACCGGCCAGCTTTTGGATGTGCTCAAACTTGTCACCGTCCCAGTACTTGATCACTCGATCCTTGCTAGCACTGAAGAAGTTGTGCCCGTTACCATCCTTGTTGTTCGGAACGAAAGCAACAGCCATGACACTGTCCTCGTGGGCCAAGAAGGACTTGTGGCAGTCACCAAAGTCCAAGCCCCAGATACGAACGGTCTTATCGGCCGAGCACGTGACGATCAGCTTGCTGTCCCAAGAAATATCCATGTTGAGAACAGGCAGCTTGTGGCCGTAAAGGTTGAGGAAGAGTTTGAGGGAGTCAACAAAGAAGACCTTGACCGTGTTGTCCAGAAGCGCAACAGCCAGCAGCCGAGCATCAGGGGAGAAGCGAACGTTAAGGATGTCATCCGAAACCTTAAGCGTTCTCGTGTGCACCAGCTTGAGTCGAGGGGTTGTTCTCTTGGTACCCGGGATTTCTTCTTGAACCACCTGGAAGTTCCAGAACTTCGCAGACTTGTCGGCACTACCACTCACCAAAGACTTGCCGTCAGGATGGACTTGAATGGACCAGACCGGCCCGTCGTGCGCTTTGATCGTGTCCAGAAGGGTCGACGAGGCGATATCGAAAACCTCAAGCTGGCCATCCTTGTTTCCAACAACAACAATCTTGTCACCAGGAAGGAAAGCAGAGCACAGAGCATAGCCACATTCAAGAGTACGCAGACAGCTTTGGGTGCGGACGTTCCAGATCTTGAGGCTGCCGTTGGAGGCAGATGCCAGCATCCGATCGTCCGAGCTCAATGCAACAGATCTAATGTCGGTGCGGTGGCCGGGGATGTCGACTGCCAAGTTCCGGCTGTAGTCCGGCTCCTCCTCATCCTTGTTCTTCTTGTTCGCGGTCACAACGCTGTAAGCTTCGAGTTGGTTGTTTGTGGTCGCGGCCAGAAGTTGCAGACTTCCACTTGACTTCGTGCGAATCCAGTCAAAGGACCGGACCTTACCGCCAGTGCGTACAATAGTGTGAGGAACAAAGACTTCCGAGACAGGCGCAGATGAGGCGTCCTCTGCTTTCTCAATGGCATCCTCAGCAGTTGCTCCATCCTTGTCAGCTGCGCGCTGCGCGTCCTTCTCCTTTCTCCTCTTGCGCTTCCTAGCCAGACTCTTTTGTACCTCGGTCTGCGAGCGAATGCGCCAAATCTCGACTGCCTTCTCAGATCCGTGGATTCCAATGTAGTCCGCTCGAGGGTGAAAGCTGATTCCGATTGTGCGGTCCTTTCCATTTCGGTAAAACGTGCCCCGGTCCGTCAAGATCTTCTGTCCCTCCGAGCCGACCTTCTCTTTGGAAATGTGAATCATAGCACTCTCATCAATCGACCAGGCCTTCAGTTCTCCATCATTTCCTGCCGTAATACAACCACTCTGGTCGGGCGAGAGACCCAGGCTCCAACACTCGCCGTTGGACTGTGCCACATGTGTTTCGATGCAGTGTTGCGCAGCCAAGTCCCATACTTTGATGAGAGCATCCTTTCCAGTCGTCAACAGAAAACCCGCATGCTCACTCAGACCGGCTTCATTAAGCAATTCAATGGACGGGGTAAGAAAATGGAGCGATGTAATCTGATCGGTGTGTCCGCGCAGTTTGAAAAGTCCGACTTCCGCAACCAGATCCCATACAATGATGTCCGTGTCTCTCGAACCACTTGCGAGGCGGACCCCTGTGCTATCGAAGGCAAGCTGAGTGATGGCAGACTTGTGGCCATTGAAGGAAATAATCACCGTCTCGGTCCGTGAATCCCAGATACGAATACTGCCGTCTTCATAACTATATCACGAAGCGACGCCCGAATTAGTAAGGTAGCGTACAAAAATCCTACCATGGTGAGAAAACTTACCCGACCGCAAAAATATCCTCATCCGTTTTGCTCTGCGTGATTATCGTGACCTGCGCCTTGCAAGACGTATCGTGCCATCTGCCCAGTAGTTCACC